GTCAGACGAAGAAGTTATGAATTTATAACGAAGTTTTTCTGTCCCGGCCTTCTAAAAATAAATAATAAAAATAAAAGTCAAAATTAGCCGACGGAGTCTAAATGAAAGTTGTAGATCATAATCTCACCTACGCGTGGATATAAAGAACGTCAAAAACGGAGCTCGTACGCGAAAGTTACGAAATTTAGAAGATGGAAGACTGGATTACGCCCCGCGTACTAGACCCAGTGTCAAGTCCCATCGGCTCGAGTGCTCTATGCTAGCTAGACCTGAGTCGTAATCCGTGACGCATTTTTACACCCCGCGTAACCGAAGTACGCCCCGCGTACTGGGTACGCCCAGCGTACTCCGGTAGTACGCCCCGCGTACGAGGATCCTCCAACCTATAAATAAAAAGGTTGAGCTTCGGGTTTTTGCACACAATTCCCAGATCCTCTCTCACTTTTACACACCCTAGAGCCCCAGAGACCATCCCGACACCTCGGTTTCCGTACCCGAGCCCCGACGAAAGATCTACGCTATCGAGATTCCCGAAGAGCGTTATTCCCGAGCCGAAGCGCTGCCCGCGAGGAGCCGATTTTTGTGAAGATCTTCCAGATCTACGGAGCAACACCTATTCTGCAAGCCGTAGTGCTGCCCGATCATCTTATGATCAAGTGAGTGTGTAGTTATTTTCATTCCAACACAATATTATGAAGTATTTCATATAAAATACGTGTTATGTGTATTTATTTGGTTGTTATATGTGTGAATGTATATTCACTCTCTTCTATCTCATAGATCTGATATATTCTCTATGAAATAAGTGTTATGTGTGTATGCCTCATCTGTTATGTGGAATATGTATTGATTAAAGCATGTTATATAGGTTTTTAAGCTATGTATAAAAATGTATATTTTTATCTACTAATAATTAGGGTAGAACATGGGTAGGTAATTGGTGTGTAATAAACAGATGAGAGGCCTCGGTGTTATTGGTGTTATTGGTGTTATTCTAGTCATTCAGCAGAGTATGGATGACAACCACGGACTATTCTAGACTGTCCTGTGGAACACTAGCAGGCTCATTACCTGTAGGTGTTGTGAACGACGTGTTCACCGGTGTACTCTATCCCCCGCATGGTTGCCTTTAGGACACTTATTGTTGAGGAAGCCCCTCTGCAGTAATGTCCGTCCTGATGAAAAATCCTGAAATAGGTTCCTTATAATAGACGTTATTTTTAGGAACGTAAGGTGAGGATAACGGGAAAGGGTAATCGGGTTTATTGTTGATTGTTGAATTAAATATAATTATTTATTGTGGGTTGAAAACCCTACATGCTCACCAGGCTCCCAAGCCTGACCCACTCAGTTGATTTATTTTACAGGAAGTGGCGCAGAGCTTAAGATGGGCGAACATCAAGTTGTTTTGTTTACAAGTCTGTATATGTATATATTTGTTGAATGACTTGTAATGCTATCGTTTATGCTTTATGATCTGTATCGGAACATGACATCCCGACTTTTGATTTTGAAATGAAATCATATTTCTTTATGAAATGTTTTGATAAATATCTATTTTATCATGTTTGTTTTTGGGAACAAATTCCGCATCCCTTTTAAAACTAAAAGGATTTACTCTGAAAACGTTTAAAAAGCATAAATGAAATCGGTCTTTTCTGACCAAGATTTTGGGGATGTCACATGTGACCCTGTAGCTCCCTCTCGTCCTAGACTTAATGAGTGCCACATATGGTCGTAGTATTTTTGGTAAGCAAAGTGATGGTTCTTTTTATTAACTCTTTTTGCCCGATTGTAGAATGATGGAAAAATAGAGGAGGAAAGTGGTACAAAATAATGTAGTCATCTGACTTGTTATATTACTGTTTTTTGATGAATCGGGATGGAGAATTATTGATTGGGTGATTAAATATTAGAATGACTCTAAGAATTGCTAAATCGCATGTACCATTTATACTTCCCATCACCATACCACTACTACCACTTGAATGTTCATAAACAAAAAGTATTCACAAATAGGATCATCTTATAGCTGACATAGTTATTCTATAAAGGTCTTAATCCTCAATAACAAATTTTCCCTAAGGACCAAGATTAGAGGCATGGCCGGTGCTGAGGATTTAAATATCCTCAAATGCCTTGGACAAGCTTAGAAAAAAAAGTATCTATTATAAGTGTTATATTTTCTAATAAATATATATCCATAATAACAAAAAAATTAGCCACAAAAAGTTTAGGCCTGTGTAGCTGCCCACTTGGTAAGAATTGTAACAAATTGAAAAACACAGTATCAAAATTGACACAAAAAAACACGGTGTCAAAATCAAATTTCTATGTAAAAAGAGTGTTTTTTGGTGCTATTTACCTAAAAATATGATGTATCCTAGAATTTAGAACCTACAGAAAAACGTTTTGAATAGTATTGATAGCCTTTTTCGTTTTTGAGAGGCCCAAATGCTCTCCAAGAGATTGACTCTTTGATTGAATAAGTTCCTAGATAATGCCACGATTTCCGTTCTGATCGCTACCTACCGAATCGCGCTACAAAAGCGCGCCAAATTGCTATAGGTAAGACAATCGGATCGGTTCCAAATCAATGTCCAATTAGGAGCCGATTGGTAGTCAATCCGTATTTTCAGTCGTTAATTTTGTGTTCGGATTCCTATTTGATACACGATCTGAACGCCGAACATGTAATTGGAGGTAATATATCGACCCTTCGAAAGAGGCAATGTCGACCTCGATTTCTATTCAAGCAGATACAGAGCATTAACATGTACATATATACAACACTAATACATGCCAAATTTCATCAATCATCATCCAATTTATGTTCATCTGCTCTACTCTCTTTTTCAATTGGTCTTCTGTTTTTTATTTTATGTTTCTGTTTTAAACTTTCGATAACTAAGTGGTGTTCCTGTTTCTGTATTGGTCATCAAGAACTTTTCTGGTTTGGAGTTTTGATTGTTTATGTTGTTTGTAATTTTGTTTCTGTTTTGTAATCAACTGAAAGTTCCTGTAATCCTGTTTTTAAATCAAGCAATCAACTCCAAGGTTACTGTTTGGCTAGCAATATATTTATTCCATTCCATTCCATGATGAAATGAGTAATTGCATTACATGAGCTTGTTTCCTAAGTCTTAACTAAAAGTTCCTGATTAATTTTTTTCTTTTTTAAATGCATAGGATTCCTGAGTGTGATGGAAATAAAGTTCTTGTTTCCCAACAGGTACATTTTGAACAGAAATTTTAAACTAACTTTTAAACATTAAGCAAGAATAACCGGCTACTTGGATCTTTAACACTTTGTTCATTGCTATTTCTTAATTATTGTTTTAAGGTTGGTTTAAAATTCAAAAAATAGCTGTTGGGGCTTATTACCGGACATTTGGATAGAATAGATAGGAAAAATTATGTCTTTTTCTAGGACAGAAAAAAATTCAGGGGTTTTTATGAATATAACAGAGTTAAATATTTTTCATTGATGCAGGTCCTAATCTTCTTGAAGCATATAACTACTACATATATAATCAAATATGTACTCACTACTCCACAATAAATTAAATTTCAGTCAACCAAATTAAGATTTTATTCTTTGCTTGAAACTTTTATTATATGTGGGGATTACTTCTTTTAGAACAATGCCAGGATTAATTGGGGAGGATGCCATCTTTAAGTGGCTTTTGTGGGCACCACAAATCAGCTACATCTTTTCTTTTAAGATATGTAAGATGGTAGGAATATTGACAGAAAAAAAAGATTAATAGTTAGTATTTATACCAGCAGGCAAGTACTGATGCTGTATCTACACTAGGCTAGTAGTTTGCAATGATGACTCTATTGGAACACCAGATAATGAAATAAAAGGATATCAAGTTGGTATAAATTAAACTTTAATGGTACTCCATATACAATTAAAGTTTATTTTTAACTATAAAACATATAAGAACTACTATATATGGAGGGAGAGTGATAAGTCTAATTGCAAGAAATTAATGCTTCTCTCCTATATATTATAAAACTTAAAATCACTAACCCAAAACTTATATTGGCACTACAGATTCATCCAAAAAGTTTTGTTGCTGAAACTGTTTGTATGTATAGTTTGGTTATCAAATTTTTTTCTCTAAGAGAGGACTTATTCCTATCAATCTTTAGCCACAGGTTAATACTGAAATGGTTCTTATATATAGTTCGGCGTATGAGAGTTAATGACTGGCCAATATTACATTAAAAATATAATTTCTCTTATACCCTGTTCCCGAGTTCAACTTAACAAGGGAAAAGCAAGGAAATGAGTGGAAATGAGAACATAGTAAAAAAATTAGTGTTCCTGAGTTTCAATAAATGGAAGAAGTAGAGGGAAATGGAAATATCACTTTGCCTCCTAACTTTCCTTCCGATTTTGAAGGATTTTGAAAGAAATTGGTGTTCCACTACTCTCCAACTCGAGAACACAAAAGAAAACTTTTTGTTCTTTTCCTTTCTCTTCTTTTCTCTCCTTACTTTCTTTTGTCTTCTTTTTATTTCGTTGCTTAAACTCGGGAACTAGGCATTAAGTAGATGAAAATGCATCTAAATTTTATTATATCTAAAATGAACTAGTTCTTTTTGGTTGATCTATATGTTCCTTATTCTATAAAAAGTTGTTGTTATGATTCCCTTTGCCTATGAATGTATGAAGGACTAAGAAGACAAACCGGTGATGAAAATGGAACGGAAGCATATGCAAACATGGGTTTCACTTGTTCTTTATTTTTCTTTTGTAATAAATAAGTAACCTTCATGGTACTTGTATTATATTTTGATAAATAATTTTAATAGTAAAATCGTTTAGTAAATAACTTTTGCAATTATAATATTCTTTGCTTGAAAGTTTATTATATCTGGGGATGATGATTCAAAGCACCATAATCCACTCCATGTTTCTATATAAATATCTATGTCATGGAAGCAGGAGAACCGACGAAAGGAAAACAAAAAAAAAAAAAATACAAATGGCAAACTCGAGCTATAGTTCTAATCCACATGTCACCCTAGAAGTTGGAGAAGAATGCCCATACCCATACCCATACCCATGGCATGTTTACACCCCCAGTTTTGTTAGCTTGAAGCTGAGTGGTAAAAATGAGTATATTATGTGGAAAAAACAGATGCTATGTCTATTAGAGAGTCATGATATGTTTGGTTTCATTGATGGAACACTCATAAGCCCTGACGAAGCCAGTAGTAGTAGTAGTGTTTCAGGGAAGGGGAAAGTGGGTGATCGTCAGACATATCACAAGCTGTGGAAAAGATCAGATGCCCTTGTGAAGGGTTGGATTCTTGGTTCTCTCTCTAATGAAACACTCAGGTACGTTGTCAATTGTCTTGCAGGAAAACACCATCAAGATGATTTCAGTGCAAAAGATGTTTGGGATGAACTGCAGACTATGTATGCTCCTCATGTACTTCCAGAAGTGCAACATGTTGTTGAAGGTACAGTCTATCTCTTGCTAATCTATCATTTATTTACCAAAGGGCCTTTGGCCTAGAGGTATCAGGAGTTAACGAATAGGTGCCCCTCAGCAAAAAGTTGAGGGTTCAAGTCTCGTTGTGGACGAAATTTGTAGATTTAGGAGTAGAGTAGTGTTTGTGTGTGTAATCTGTTTTAAAAAAAATCTATCATTTATTTGGGTTGGTGATCATTTAGATAAACCAAAGCATACAACTACTTATACAGTAAACTCGGTATATATAGATTTAATAGTATACAATCACTAAAAAGTTGAGTGGCCCACGTGCTTGATTACACAAATTAACAAGGTAAAACAGATACAACGTATACTAATGGATAAAAATGTACACAAAAACAAGGTTAAGGTTTTTTTTTTTTCCTCCATCCTCCTTTAAAATCCCTAGTGTTTAGATCAGATTAGATCAGATCACATCAGAGCAGATATTTTGTATGTTGTAGTTTTTTACCTTCATAACAAAATTGTGCAAATATAGATACACTACAAGATCAAGACAGAGCAGACGATATCAAGAGATTGTACGAATATACTGAAGTAGGATATTGGTATGGGGTCGAAGGTATATTGAGAGAGGGAAGGGTTACAGTGGTAGACAAAATCACCAATAAAGGCAACACCACGCTCCATGTAGCAGTAGGTACTTCCCAGAAGCCCGAATTCCTAGAGAAATTGTTGGCATGGATACCTGAGAACACAAAACTCATGGATCTAATAAATTCAGATGGAAGCACGCTGCTTCATGTTGCTGCTATTATTGGCAACACTGAAGCTGCTGACAACTTGGTGGCAAGAAACCATGAGTTGTTGTTAGCCAAAGACAACAAGGGTCAGACACCACTAGACTTGGCTTTTTCTCATATGCATACAGAGACAGCCCGACAACTGCTGCAACACATCAAGACTGATATACAGAAGGATGCTCTGTTTTCTGGCGCAACAGGGGATGAGCTTCTCGGGACTGTTATTTCTTCTAAAGATTTTTGTAAGTGTCTATTGGATTCAAATTCTACTAGTAAAAAAATAACCACATTATTCATACCGAAAACTTTTGATTATATGTAGGCTTGGCAGCTGATCTAATACGGCATTATAGAAACTTGCATGGTAATACTGCGCTTATGGCAATAGCTGAAAATTTCCCATGTGAACTCAGCGTATTGGCAAGATATATAGGTTAGTTGATTTTGATCCTTATTCTGCACGTTTCCTTACCTTGTCAATAAATTATAATACCTCTTTAATCAACTTCCTGCCTATCACGATACAACTTTTATGTAGTTGGGGCTGATGAGATACGTGATAGACTAAGGCTCTTCGTTGTAAGAACCACTATGGATTGTATCGCCAGATGTCTTCCATCATTGGTTCCATGGGTGAATCCAATGTTCAAGGCATTCTTCTATGGTAGGTTGTGAGTTGATATTATATTCCGCTTCTAATGTATTGTTTGCACATTCCATAATCCCATTATTCTAACAATGTATCTAGTAATGCAGTAATATGTTGGAGTGATATGCTATTCCGGACAATCCTTTACATGTTAGGTAAGATGAATCACTAATTACCATCATTGTATAATATAAATTACACGTGAAAAAGAGGTATTATTACTTTATTTGAGATATTCGGTTGGGTCTATTTTGCAGTTTCGCCATTCATTAAGAAGAGCATTAAAAATAATGAGGATGCTATAAAACTGTTGAACTATGTATGCGATTTGATAGTGGATTCAAATCACAGCTCCTCTTACCATCACTGCTACACAAAGCCAATTCTTGAAGCCACAAGACTAAATGCACACCAGGTTGTACATATAATTTGGCTTCATTTCCCAAATGCAACTCTAAGTGCCAATGAAGATGGTCACAACATTTTTCAATATGCTGTGATACATCGCTCAGAAAAGGTCTACAATTTCCTATACCAAATGACGGGTCATAGAAAGAATATATATCGGACAATCAAAGACTTTCATGGTAATAACCTCTTGCATTTGGCTGCAAGATTGGCACCCACAGACAAATTGAATCGTATATCTGGTGCAGCTTTACAAATACAACGTGAACTACAATGGTTTAAGGTAGAAATTTCCATGATATAAAATCAGCACAGCGTACAGATTTTATAAAAACGACATTTATTAAGCATGGTTGACATATCTTAATCTTGTAGGAAGTCGAAGGATTTGTATATCAGTTAAGCATCACTCAAAAGAACTCTAGTGGTGAAACGCCACAAATGGTATTTACTAGAGAACACAAGGACTTGGTTATTGATGGAGAAAAATGGATGAAGTCCACTGCGGGGTCCTACACGATTACAGCTGCATTAATCATCACCGTTGTGTTTGCGGGAGCTATTACAGTGCCGGGAGGAAGCGATCAAAACGCGGGCATACCAATTTTTACCAATAGCACCGCCTTCAAAATATTTGCAATATCAGATGCCATATCGTTATTCGCAGCTGTTACCTCATTGTTAATGTTTTTGTCGATTCTCACTGCACGTTTTGCTGAACAAGACTTTCTCTACAAGTTGCCTACAAAGTTGATAATTGGTTTGGCCACATTGTTCATCTCAACCACAGCCATGATAGTAGCTTTTTCTGCAACGTTATACCTTGTATTTGGGCAAAGCAACTCACGAATTCTTATTCCAATAGCTGTGTTGACATGCCTACCAATCACTTCTTTTGTGACCCTGCAGTTCCCTCTTGTCTTAGACTTGATAAGTGCCACATATGGTAGTAGTATTTTTGGTAAGAAAAGATATTATCGCTTTATTTTACTCGAATGACAGACCAAATACAAGTGCAAACTGTGAATATACGTGATTCAGTTTGAACAATATATGGGTTGGTCCTTAGTTTGTAATGTCACATTTATTTCAGCTATTGTGGACTTGGTGTAGAGAAATAGTATAATAATTTGATGATAAATTAAGGAATTACAGATCGGAATTGTAGTAAAAGTTTTGAATTACATTGGAAGATAGATACTCTAAAATAATAATTCACAATAACCTGATTTACAAATACTGAAACTAAAGGAATATTTTATTTTATTTACAGATCCATCTTTTAATATCTGTATTTTGTTTCGTTTTTCTCACCCGTATGTTTGCGAGTTTTTTTTTTTTCCTATATATTCTTGGTTTGGTGAACAATAAAATAGAAGTTGGCTCAATATCGCTTTCTTCATGGGATCTTGATCAGAAGTATTGCTTTCAAACCCTAGAAACAATCCAAAACTAAACTTCGTCCATGACCGGAGATAGAGGTTCAAAGAAAACCGGCGATGGCAAAACTGATGCCATGGACACCAACTCACATTATTACATACACCATTCCAATACACCCCGACAAATGCTAGTAAACCAACCTCTCACCGACACCAACTATGGTGATTGGATCCAAGAGAAGACGAATTTTCTATTTGCCAAAAACATGATTAGCTTTGTTGATGGCTCAATGCCGAAACCAGAGAACAAAAGTGAGAATTACATGGCTTGGATGAGATGTGATGTAATGACATATATTTCAAAATTAAACATTGAATGAGTGCTATATATATTTCAAAATTCAACTGTAACCTTCTTTCTATTAGTCGTTTGACAAAAGAATGAAAATGCTCGGTAACTTTTTTTTTTTCCAGACTTTTGTGTTTTGCAGGCCTTACAATCAAAGAAGCTAATTGGAGTGGGTAATTGCGTGAATGGTTATACAAGGTGGGCATGATCAAGAAGGAAAGAAGGGTCATGACCTTAAACGTTGATGCTAGGATTTGGCAATCTATACTAGGACATGCTTCTCATACCATGTAATATCATATTGATTTTTTAAAGAAACCTACTTTTGATATAAAGAATGATTTATGTGACGACTTGTGTTAAAGCTAAACTTACTCGATCTACCTTCCCAAAGAGTTCTATTAAAACAAATGCTTGCTTTGAATTAATCCATTATGATATATTTGGAAAATATAGAAAACCATCCACCACTCATGCTAGTTTTTTCTTAACTGTAATTGATGATTATAGTCGTGCCTTATGGTTTCTTCTCATCAATCACAAAAGTGAAGCGAGTGAATGCTTAATAAGTTTTCACAAAATGATAGAGCCACAATTTGGGAACCTCATAAAGAAGATTAGATGCAAAATGGAGGAAATTCACTTCAAACCATATGAAAATTTTCTATTTAGAAAAGGGAATCATACTGCAAACCTCCTGTCCCCACATGCCACAACAAAACGATATTGTAGAACGGAAGCACCACCACATTCTTGAGACAACTATATCTCTAATGTTCTAGGCTAGTCTTCCAAAAAAATTTTGAGGTGAATATATAGAAACGACAACCTACATCATCAATTGCCTCCCCTCAAAAGTTCTAGGCAACAATACTCCGTATGAGATCATTTTCAACCAAAAACCCAACTATGAAATCATGAGGACTTTTGGATACCTCACCTACTATATGAGCAAACTAGTGGGGAAAAATTCGAACTCAGGGGAAGACCCATAGGTTTCATAGGTTATCCCCAGGGTATAAAGGGGTATAAGATTTTTCATACCTAACAAAGGAAAATGGCCATTTCTTGAGACGTGAAATTTTTTGAAACTTCTTTCCCTTTTGCCAACATAAAAGCGAGTCTAGATGATATGAATTTTCATTTTGATACCACTTGCCATGACAAAGAGCAACCTGCCATAGTTGAAACCCAAGAAATGGAACCCAACTATGATGACTCTAACGAGAATTCGCAAAATGAAATGAAGGTTGAGCCTAATAACTACAAGAATGAAAATGTTGATAACACAGCTGCCAAATCTCAAGATGACGTGTTGGAAAGTCTCTCGCCTCCTCATGAGGATCCCAAAAACAATACATCACAATATACTCACATGGATATTCCACCCAGTGTTATACAAAACACAACTCAACCCTCATATTTAATGGACTACGTCATGAATTTGCCTCCTTCTGTTGATCACATGCAACCCACTCATTCAACTTCTTCAACGTTACATCCTCTTCCCAATCATCTTCCACATGATAAATTTCCTAACACTCATAGAGCCTATTTAAATGCTATCATAAAGAATAGTGATCCAAAAAACTTTAAGGAAGCCATACAGGGCCCAAATTGGAAAGAACCCATGCAAAAGGAAATAACGGCTCTTGAAGATAACGAAACATGGAGTCTTGAAGCTCTTCCCAAAGGAAAACATGTCATCGACTCTGAGTGGGTTTATAATACTAAATATAAACCAAATGGAAAAAATTAGAGGTATAAATCTTGTATCGTTGCCAAGGTATTTACTCAAATTAAAGGTATTGATTATCACGACACTTTTTCCCCTGTAGCCAAACTAGTAACAGTTCATTGTGTGACTTTTGTGGGTGTTAAATGAGGTTGGTTGTTCTACCAATTGGATGTCAACAGTGCATTTTTACATTTCAATCTCCAAGAAGAAGTCTATATGAAGATTCGTCAAGGTTTTTGAAAACAAAATGAAATTCGGGTATGTTGGCTCAAAAAGTTCTTGTGTAGTTTAAAACAAGCCTCTCGTTCATGGTATCAACAATTCACTACCACTTTGATTCAAATTGTATATAAACAATCTTTTGCTGACCATTTGCTTTTCACTTTTAAAGAAAAGGGCTCCTTTGTTGCAATTCTCATCTATATAGATGATGTAATCATATAAGGGGACAACCTTGATAAGATTCAAGCCACCAAAACTTACTTGGACCAACTCTTTAGCATAAAGACTTAGGGCCTCTCAAATACTTCCTAGGAATTGAAGTAGATAGGACCACAAATGGGCTCATTTTGAATGAACAAAAACCCAACTAGTTCCCCATGGAAAAAAAATGTCAAGATTGATCATTGTCTTCACATCCAACGTAACAATGCCAAGCAATATTGCCTCTTAGTTCAGAGGCTTTTGTAACTTACAGCTACCCGACCAGATATTGCCAACTCCTTCAGCACTCTAAGTCAGCTTGTTTCCGATTCTCATGAAGAACACACGGTAGCTGTTACTTGCATCCTTAGGTAGTTAAAGTCGAATCCGGGACAAGGTATCTTTATTCCAAAGGCATGGGAATTGAAGATTGTTGGCTACTGCGGCGCAGATTGGTTATGATGTCCCTTCTCAAGAAGATCAAGAACTAGTTACGTCCTGCTCTTGGGAAGAGCACCAGTTTCAAGGAAGACCAAGAAACAATCGATTTTGTCCCACTCCCCATCAAAAGATGAGTATCGTTCCATGGAAGCTACCGTAAGTGAAATAATTTTCACAAGAGGCCACTTCGTGAGCTACAAGTTGACTCAGTTACCCCCCACACCGCTTTTTAGTGACAATGTTGCTTCATGTCATATTACAAACAACTTGGGCTTTCACGAGCCTGCCAAACATGTCGAAATAGATTGTCATTTTTTTGGGAATAATTAGAGTCTAAGGATATTCTTCCACTGCACATCAATTCCAAGAACCAAATTGTAGATCTCTTCACCAAACCTTTGGGAGCTCGCCAATTTCGCTCTCTTCTTGACAAGCTGGGCATTTGTGAACTTCACGCTTCATCTTGAGGGGGAATAAATGAATATTTTATTTTATTTAGAGATCCATATATTAATATTCTTATTTTGTTTCCTTTTTTCTCTCCCGTATGTTTAGGAGTTTGTTATGTTGTCTCTTTATATATTCTTGGTTTGGTGAACAATAAAATATAAGTTGGCTCAAGATCGCTTTCTTCATAAACATATGATTATAGAATTGTTTATGTATTGCATCATTACACCACTACGCCACAACGAAATGTGTAATTACTTGGTAAGATTTAATAATTATTGTGGATAGTATAATTTTTGCACAACTCAACACCATTTAAAAATGTGATATTGAGCCTCTGGTAACCATCACCTAATAACTCTATGGTTGTGGAGGATGACATGGTAAGCACTCCTCCAGGGGTGAACCAATTTCAATTCTAGCCCAAGATACATAAGTGTTCACAGGACTGGAGTATGACGTAGTTTGAAACATGACACTTAGCTTGATTATTGAAATAATAGGGAAGCTACTACGATTACTGGGACAACTGTTTGTGTTTGTTTTTTATACTAGCCTCTTTGGGTTGGAAAGAAGAATATCTTCAACAATTTCAGTTCTAATCTCTTCCTTGTTTGTTTGACTCTCCAGTCTTTATTTTAGACCGCCTTTACTATTAGCCACATTTACTATAATTTCTTCTTTTTCCTTGGACTTATCTACATTCACGATATCAATATGAGATATTGTAGTATTCATCGTCTATTCCTGATCTGGTTCCATAATTTCTTCTTCTGTATTATGTAGCTCTCGATCTTAAATTGTTTCTTATACCTTCTCCAAATGAAACATCCCAAAAATATAACCCAAAAATTTTGTTCTTAATCCAATAAGAAAATCATAATATAAAATAACATATAACAACCATAAGTCGTGTATCTCAAAAGATCAGAGTAAAACATCTCATGCTATAACAAATGGTATGTGCACTACAATCATCACAAGCTCGTCTTCTAAAAACCGAAGTATCTGAAACCAAAACTGAAAACCTTAAGCACGAAGCTTAGTAAGTCTCCCTAAACTAACACATAACATGGAACTAGGAGATATGGTCCCCGCCCAATCTCATGGAGATTCGGGCCCCGCCCACACTCCGCTGTCTAGGAGATTCAGGCCTCTCCAACACTCTGTTGTCTAGGAGATTCGGTCCCCGCCCACACTCAGCTACTACCCTGCA